TGATGGTCGCCCCTCTCTGCCATGTCCATGATTTCTCCATTATTAAAATCAACAATGCTTTGAGAAAAGAAGAACAATAAAAGGAAAATATTGAACCATCTCAGCAGCACTCCTTTATCTCTGTAAAAAGGGGCTATTATGCTCTTTCTTTTTCTGGTTCTGCTTCTGCTTCTGCTATTACAACAACTGATTTGCACAAATAGCTGATTTTCTTCACCAGAAACTTTTTCTCCGGTCATTTTGGTTCCAAAACTCTTAGTAGTTTTAACCTAGAAAGGAAGAATGAAGAAAAAGAAGAAAAAGAAATTAAATTTCTGGAGAACAAGAGAGAGCTGGAAAAGTGATGGCCGGAAATTGATTTTCTGACGAGGAGGAATCATTGGGGAAGATGACGACAGTGGGGTGGGGTTCTCGTTTTTTTTTCTAATTTGATAAAGTTACATCCACATGTCCTCGGCTTATTAGTTATTGTGGTGTGTGAATTACACGCACCTTTTGTGTGTGGCTGCTTAGGAATTTTGTGTCTAAACGACATAGTAAAGGCCTGGTTAAAGTATTCAAATGGAACAGCGTTAAGATAAAGTGTCTAAGTGAAAAGTGTGGACAACTTTAAGGGGCTGTCGATGTATTTGGCCTAACATATATATAATAATTAATTTATAAACTGAAATACACATTAAAAAAATCAAATAAACTAAAATATAACACACATATACATACATATATATATATATAAAATAATTAATTTTCTAAACTAAACTACATATAAAATTAATCGAATAAACTGAAAATATAACATATATAACATACTCCCTTCGTTTCATATTAGATGAGGTAGTTTGACTCGGCACGGAGTTTAAGAAAAAAGAAGACTTTTGAAACTTGTGGTCTTAAAAGCTTAAGGAGCAAAAGGTTTGTGGGACCATGACATTTGTGTGGCTATAAAAGCTTCTCATTGAGGGTAAATGGTTAAAATAAAAAGTTTAAAGTTGAATTATTTCCAAATTTAGAAATGTGTCATTTGTTTTGGAACAGACTAAAAAGGAAAGTACCTCATCTAATACGAAACGGAGGGAGTAATTAATTTTATAAACTGAAATACACATTAAAGAATCAAATAAACTAAAAAATATAACACATATATATAATAAGTAATTTTATAAACTAAAATACATATTAAAATTAAGAAGAATAAAAGGGGGGAAAAAAGGAAAACAGCGCCTGCCCTAGCTGTGTAGACGTTGGACGAGAAAAAGTGAAAAAGAGAAGAGGAGAAGAAGAAGGAAAAAGAAAGAAAAAAAAGGAGAATCTGGACAAGAAGAAGAAAGAAGAAAGAAAAAAATAAGAAGGAGAAGAAGAATTTACCTGGACTGAGAAATGGCAGAAACCCTAGTTTTGCGATGAAGAAGAGAGAAGGCGTCTGTTTACACTCTGTTTTGTCGAGGATCTGTAGTAGCGAGCTTAGGGGTCTGTTTTGTATAATTTACAAACATACCCAATCTTTTTTTTTTTTTGAAAAAAAAGGCCCAGCTGCGATTTTTTAACAAAAGCGATCGCTTCACTCGCTTTGTCGCCTCGTCGTCTTGTCGCTTTTTTCACTGAAGCGTGCGCTTCACACGATCGCGTTGCCTCAGGCAGTAAAAAGCGATGCCATGTCGCTTCGCGCTTAAAGCGACGAAGCAATCGCTTTTCCAAACACTAGGTGGGATTAGGGATAATGAAACCTTGGTGCAATCCGAGTGAGCCGTACTTAACACCAACTAGCGTAATTCGGGAGAATATGTCTAGTAAATTGTGGCAGTTACTCGGGAGAGAATTACGACACTCAGAGCGCTCATGATCGGTAGAGAATACTTAGGCGAAATTATAGAAGACGCAGCAGGAAGGATTCCGACAATTGGAAAAATTATAACTCTAGATGTAATACTCTATGTTAGTTTCATTGTCTAAATAGTAGTAGATAACCCTAATCCCATATGTATTAGGAGTAGGACATGTATTGTGTATATATAGGGCTCAGTGTATCATTGTCTTAATTAATCAATAATAATATTTTTCTCCCGTGCATTCTCACATGGTATCAGAGCTACCGTGAGAAATTAATCGTTGTGCGTCATTCCAGCGATATCCGGGAAGAAATAACTCAGTCACCGTGCAATTTTCCGGTGACCTAAGTGACTAATTGCGTCAAAGTCACTAATTATCAGTGTTGTGCAAAATCCAACACCACCAAAAGGTCCCCAAGAGAGATCCGACCAAACCCCAGAAAAGTTCACCTGAAAACACTCATCCACGAGCCCCCACGCACTTGCCGGAGCTCTGCCGCTGCCGGCGCGTCTGTCTCACGCGCCGGCGCGTGAGGGTTGTTCCGGCCAGAATTTCAAAAAGTTTCTTTTGGACAGTGTGTTCTTCGTGTTTTTCCGAGCCTACCCATCAAGTTTACATCAGATTCTGACAACTTTGGAATTTTCCGGCGAGCTACAGTGATTTTTCCGGCGTGAACAGTGATCCAGCAATTTTCTGCTTTTTTTCCGGCACAATATTATAATGGAATCATTACCTGAAGCCTTTACCTCACAATCTGTTGGATTAAATGCAATAAATCCAATCCAGATGATTTCTTTACCAGATTATATTGAGTTCCTTCAGTACAAAGCACGTAAACAGACATCTTCAGGATTAACCTCCGTCGTTCCAACAAATAGTAGCATGACTGGTGTCTCTCAATCTTCACCTTCTGAGTCTTGGGTCATTGATTCAGGTGCATCTGATCATATTTCTGGTAACAAATCTCTTTTCACTAGTATCTCATATTCTGAATCTCTTCCAACAGTCACAATGGCCAATGGGTCTCAAGCCATGGCAACTGCAATAGGTCAAGCAAGTCCACTTCCTTCCTTACCTTTAGACTCAGTTCTTTATATTCCTGGTAGTCCTTTTAATCTCATAGCCGTTAGTCGCTTAGCCAAATCACTTAAATCTGTTGTTCTATTTCTTGATGACCTTGTTTTTATACAGGAACGCAGTACAGGGCGGATCATTGGTACCGGACGTGAATCAGATGGACTTTATTACCTTATCCTTGCAAAATCACATGGACTCGCATCTTGTCTTCCTCCAATAACTTCTCTCGTTACTGATTCACCAGATTTATTACATAAACGGTTAGGACATCCCAGTTTGTCAAAACTTCAGAAAATGGTACCTGGCTTATCTCACTTGTCCACTCTAGAGTGTGAGTCTTGTCAGCTCGGTAAGCATACCCGCTCCCATTTCCCCTGTCGTCTTGACAATCGAGCAGAGTAACCTTTTACTTTAGTCCATTCAGATGTTTGGGGTCCTAGTCGGGTTAGCTCTACCTTAGGATTCCGCTACTTTGTCAGTTTCATTGATGATTATTCCAGGTGCACTTGTATATTTTTGATGAAAAACCGATCTGAGTTGTTTTCTATTTCCAGACCTTCCATGCTGAAATTCAAAATCAATTTGGGGTTTCTATCCGTACATTTCGAAGTGATAATGCCCTAGAGTATTTGTCTTCCCCGTTTCAGCAATTTATGAACTCCCATGGGATTATTCATCAAACATCTTGTCCGTACACATCCCAACAAAATGGGGTAGCTGAAAGAAAGAATAGACATCTTATTGAAATTGCTCGTACCCTACTCATACAATCTCATGTTCCGCTGCGTTTTTGGGGGGATGCAGTTCTTACATCTTGTTATCTTATTAATTGTATGCCATCTTCAGCTATCCAAAATCAAGTTCTATTCTCTGTCCTGTTTCCCCACTTACCTTTGTTCTCTCTTCCACCCCGTGTCTTTGGGAGTACGTGTTTTGTTCATGACCTTACTCCAGGAAAAGATAAGTTAGCTCCTCGTGCTCTTAAGTGCATATTTCTGGGTTACTCGAGAACGCAAAAGGGATATCGATGTTATTCTCCTGACCTTCAGCGATTTCTTATGTCTGTTGATGTTACCTTCTTTGAAACCCAATCATACTTCACAGGTCCAGTTAATCACTTAGATATTTCT